CGGATAACCGATTCGCACATATTTTTAATATAGGAGCGCATATACACCGTCCTCGTTATCGTGAAGAATTAGAATTGGTCAATGATATAATAGAGAAGTTGTTGTTGAAATTCATTCTATTGATTTATATTAACAGTTTTATATTTTATTAGACCCCACGACGCTTTTTGTTTATTCCATTTATTTTTCACATATTCGTTGTGTGGTGTATTCGTTTTATAATTTTTTTTTTTCTCTCTCTCTCTCTCTCCCTCTCCCTCTCCCCCCCCCCCCCCCCCCCCCTCCCTTTTCTGAAAACTCTTTTTGTTTATTCCATTTATTTTTCACATATTCGTTGTGTGGTGTATTCGTTTTAGAATTTTTTTTTTTCCCCTCTCTCCCCCCCCCCTCCCTTTTCTGAAAACGCAACGCGACGACGTACCGCGCCGTGAAACTGTCGACTTGTAGCGCATCTATCCGACCGCTCTGGCGGCCGTCACTTTCGCACTTTGTTTCTCGGCTCCGAGTCCGAGAGCGGAGTCTCGCGGCGTGGCGACGCGGCGCGCGTCACTCGTGGCGCGCGTCTCTTAAAATATATTATAATACGAATGAAACACCACACACGGGGTCTCTCTATGTTTGTTGTGTGTGTGCAGAGGCGGCGCTCTTGCGCGTGGCGCTTTGCATATATGCTGCATATATATGCGAGAACCGTGTGCACATGTTTTATTTCTCACTCCACGCGGACCCGCAACGGCGGCCCGGGGGTTTTGTTGTTTGGATATGTTATGTGTTGGCGGATGGTTGGTATATAACCGACTTTGTGTCGCCGCTGCTCTCGCGAGCGACGACCGTTATTTCGGTGATATATCCTCCTCCTCCCACAAAGCCTCCAAAAACTCTCTCTCGGGCCTCAAAGAGCCGTACCTGTGATAATGAATGGAAAATAAAGAAAGATTTTTTTTTTTTTTTTTTCTTTTTTTCTTTTCGCACCGGGTTTTCTATAAGTTGTAATGTTGTCGCGATGATGACGACGACGACGACTCTGCCGTCGTTGGGCCGTCGATCGAGAAGTGTGTGTAAGCGCGCTTGCCGACACCGGCGTGCCATTAATCGGGCGGTACGTTTTCGTTATCTCGTGATAATGTTTTTGTGTATTATATGTAGTTATATGCGTCGGTTTTGGTACTACCGATTCTGCGGAGAGAATAATTTTCTCTCTATCGAATCGAAACGAATCGAATCGGCGTATAGTTTTGTGTGTGCGTGTGCCCTCTGATCTACCGGGCGATCTCTCATACGTTCTGGATGATAATATTCACGACGGAGAAAACAATTTTGTATACATTATACTGCGAGATATTCAATCTCCGGGTGGACGTTCAATCGCGGACGCGCGTCTATCTGAATAATAGATATTTAGAGATGCCGTCCAAAAGATGCAGTCTCGACGGCGCGGAACGTTTGCTATCCGACGCGCGGCGGCGGCTGCCGGTCATATCTTCTATATTGTTGTGTATATAGAGAGCCGGCGCCGACCGACCGACCGACCGACCGACCGACCGGCCGGCGGAGAGAGCGTTTCCGATCTGTTCGAGTCGCGAGAGGAGGAGGAGGAGGAGGAGGAGAAAACGCGACGTACGTACGTTGTCGCGTGCGTGTACGCGCACGACGCTTAACGAACGTACTCGTGTCTCGCCCCCCACCACTGTTATAGGCACGCCGTGCACCGCGAATTGTCGGTGTGTGGCGATGTTTTTGCTAACGCGCACCATACACTAGTCTAATAGTGTGTTAGTGTAGTAGTAGTAGTAGTAGTAGTAAATACCTGGTTGATCCTGCCAGTAGCATATGCTTGTCTCAAAGATTAAGCCATGCATGTCTAAGTACAAGCCGCTAGTCGGCGAAACCGCGAATGGCTCAATAAATCAGTTATGGTTCCTTAGATCCACTCCATCCTACTTGGATAACTGTGGTAATTCTAGAGCTAATACATGCACTCGAAACTCTGACCAGTGATGGGATGAGTGCTTTTATTAGATCAAAACCAATCGACGGAGGGCCTCGCGTCCGATGTCGTTAATTTTGATGAATCTGGATAACTTTTGCCGATCGCATGGTCCCGAGCCGGCGACGCATCTTTCAAATGTCTGCCTTATCAACTGTCGATGGTAGGTTACGCGCCTACCATGGTTGCAACGGGTAACGGGGAATCGGGGTTCGATTCCGGAGAGGGAGCCTGAGAAACGGCTACCACATCCAAGGAAGGCAGCAGGCGCGCAAATTACCCACTCCCGGCACGGGGAGGTAGTGACGAAAAATAACGATACGGGACTCTTCCGAGGCCCCGTGATTGGAATGAGTACACTTTAAATCCTTTAACGAGGAACCATTGGAGGGCAAGTCTGGTGCCAGCAGCCGCGGTAACTCCAGCTCCAATAGCGTATATTAAAGTTGTTGCGGTTAAAAAGCTCGTAGTTGCATTTGTGCGCCGCGCTGTCGGTGCACCGCATCCGCGGTGATACTGACACGTTTGCGGAGCATATCGTCGGTGAGCCGGCGGTAAAACGCCGGTTCAATATCAAAATCCTATCGCGGTGCTCTTCGGTGAGTGTCGAGGTGGGCCGGCAAGTTTACTTTGAACAAATTAGAGTGCTCAAAGCAGGTTCAAAATGCTGCTTGAATATTTCGTGCATGGAATAATAGAATATGATCTCGGTTCTATTTTGTTGGTTTTCAGAACTCCGAGGTAATGATTAATAGGGATAAACGGGGGCATTCGTACTGCGGCGACAGAGGTGAAATTCTTGGACCGCCGCAAGACGAACAACAGCGAAGGCATTTGCCAAGAATGTTTTCCTTGATCAAGAACGAAAGTTAGAGGTTCGAAGGCGATCAGATACCGCCCTAGTTCTAACCATAAACGATGCCAACCAGCAATCCGGCGGAGTTACTCCAATGACTCGCCGGGCAGCTTCCGGGAAACCAAAGTCTTTGGGTTCCGGGGGAAGTATGGTTGCAAAGCTGAAACTTAAAGGAATTGACGGAAGGGCACCACCAGGAGTGGAGCCTGCGGCTTAATTTGACTCAACACGGGAAACCTCACCAGGCCCGGACACTGGAAGGATTGACAGATTGAGAGCTCTTTCTTGATTCGGTGGGTGGTGGTGCATGGCCGTTCTTAGTTGGTGGAGCGATTTGTCTGGTTAATTCCGATAACGAACGAGACTCTAGCCTGCTAAATAGGTGACGGCATTTAGGTGTGCGCGGCCTTCGTGTCGCGCAACTCACTGGCGACGTATCACAAGTCTTCTTAGAGGGACAAGCGGCGTCCAGCCGCGTGACAGTGAGCAATAACAGGTCTGTGATGCCCTTAGATGTCCTGGGCCGCACGCGCGCTACACTGAAGGAATCAGCGTGTTTCACTCTCCCTGTCCGAAAGGACCGGGTAACCGCTGAACCTCCTTCGTGGTTGGGATTGGGGACTGCAATGATCCCCATGAACCAGGAATCCCGAGTAGGCGCGGGTCACTAGCCCGCGTCGATTACGTCCCTGCCCTTTGTACACACCGCCCGTCGCTACTACCGATTGAATGATTTAGTGAGGACTTCGGACCGACACGCGGTGGCTTCACGGCCGTCGGCGTTGCTGGGAAGTTGACCAAACTTGATCATTTAGAGGAAGTAAAAGTCGTAACAAGGTTTCCGTAGGTGAACCTGCGGAAGGATCATTAACGTTTCAGTGTCGGCACGCACGCACGCACGCACGCACGCACGCACGCACGCACGCACGCACGCACGCACGCACGCACGCGCACTTATACGTGTACACCACGTGTATGTGATCGCGGCGTAGGCGTAGGCGTAGGCGTAGGCGGCGCGGCGCACACGCACTGTTTTTCATGTTGATTGATATACCTTATATCTCGTATAGACGACGTGTCGCTATCGAGACGGTCTGAACGCGCATGCGTACACGCGCGTATCAACGCGCGCGCGCGCACGGTGAAAATCCGCAAGCCTGTGTGCGTTCCGCGCGCGCGCTTCCGACCGAAAAAACTACAAACCTAGCGGTTAGATTGAGCTAGCGATCGCGCGCTCGCACGCGCTTCGCGCTCTTTTCTATGTCAATAAATGATAATTTATTTATTTATTTATTTATTTTTCTATTTTAATATCGTACATATACCACACGATGTGTGGGGTAGTCAAAAACGATTACCCTGGACGGTGGATCACTTGGCTCGCGGGTCGATGAAGAACGCAGTTAACTGCGCGTCATAGTGTGAACTGCAGGACACAATTGAACATCGACACTTCGAACGCACATTGCGGTCCGTGGAGATACATCCAGGACCACTCCTGTCTGAGGGCCGGCTGCATAATAACGACGCCTCGCGTTGTTAAAATTACACTGCTCCTCTCTCTCTCTCTCTCTCTCTCGCTCGCTCTCGCTCCCCTTCTCTCGGCGCTCTGTCATAAAGAGTATGACAGAGAGATATAAGGGAGAGAGGCGAAAAGAGAGAAAGAGCGCGCATGTGACGGTTTCGGAGAGGCGGCGCACAATCGAGCTCTCTCGCGCGCGCGTGTCTCTTCGTCCGTTCAAATATGACACACGAGTTTCAGCGGCGTGGTGGCGGTCGTCGTCGGATTCGATTCCGGCGCGCAAACGACACACTCTCGTCTCTCCCTGGCTTCTAGTCGCGTTCGTTCGTTCGTTCGTTCGTTCGTTCGTTCGTTCGTTCGTTCGTTCGTTCGCGATCGATGGGAGGACGTACGCGTCTGTACGCGCCGCTGCCATTAACGCCGCTGTGTGTGCAATGTACAATACATTATGTACATTGCGCGCGTGTGCGTAGGCGGACTCGACGTCCGAAGAGCGCGTCGACGTCGTCGTGTGTACCCGTGTTACTACACATGGCCGTGGTAGTTGTACTACCATCGGTCGACCGGTGACTGACGGTCGCGCGCGTCGTCGTCGCAGCGCTGACGGATATCGAGTCTGCCTCTCATTTTATCGTTGGCCTCAGATCAGGGAAGACTACCCGCTGAACTTAAGCATATCAGTAAGCGGAGGAAAAGAAACTAACAAGGATTCCCTTAGTAGCGGCGAGCGAACAGGGATGAGCCCAGCACCGAACCCCGCCGTTGTTCAGGCGGCGGGAGATGTGGTGTTCGGGAGGTTCCGCTTTCTCGTCGCGATCTCTCCTGTCCAAGTTCGTCTTGAACGGGGCCGTTTTCCCGTAGAGGGTGCCAGGCCCGTAGCGACGGAGATCGGCGGCGAGAGGGACTCTCCCAAGAGTCGGGTTGCTTGAGCGTGCAGCCCTAAGCGGGAGGTAAACTCCTTCTAAGGCTAAATATCGCCACGAGACCGATAGCGAACAAGTACCGCGAGGGAAAGTTGAAAAGAACTTTGAAGAGAGAGTTCAAGAGTGCGTGAAACCGTTCAGGGGGTTAAACCTGCGAAACTCGAATGAACGAACGGAGAGATTCATCGTCATTCCTCGGCGTACGGACGCGCGCCTCGATGCGTCCGGCTTCGGTCGGTGCGCACGGGTCGTTCACGTCCGTCGACGTCCGCGGACGGCGTGCACTTCTCTCTTAGTAAATACATCGCGACCCGTTCGATGTCGGTCTAAGCGCCGTACGGGAGCCCCGCCGCGCTCACTCGTTGGGTCGCGACGGGACCGCGACGGACGCCGACCGGCCGTCGGACGGTAATATCATTGAATCGCGCACGCGTCATCGCACGCGTCCGGCCCGACGCAAGGTTATATATTTAATGCGTCGTCGTCGGGGTCCTGCCTAAGCGCGGACTTCGGCGCGGCGCGCCTGCCGTCGCAGCCGTGCTGTCTCGGACTGTGCGCGTCTCTGTCTGCGATGATTCAGTTTCGGGCACTCGCCCGACCCGTCTTGAAACACGGACCAAGGAGTCTAACATGTGCGCGAGTCGTCGAGATTTACATCACTAAACTGAAAGGCACAACGAAAGTGAAGGCGCGCGCTCGCCGCGCGCTCAGGGAGGATGGAGCGTCGGTCTAGGTCGTCGCTCTCGCACTCCCGAGGCGTCTCGTTTCCAATCCGTGAATGTGGGCGCGCCCAGAGCGCACACGTTGGGACCCGAAAGATGGTGACCTATGCCTGGCCAGGACGAAGCCAGGGGAAACCCTGGTGGAGGTCCGCAGCGATTCTGACGTGCAAATCGATCGTCGGAGTTGGGTATAGGGGCGAAAGACTAATCGAACCATCTAGTAGCTGGTTCCCCCCGAAGTTTCCCTCAGGATAGCTGGTGCTCGCAAAGAGAACAAACGGAGTTTCATCCGGTAAAGCGAATGATTAGAGGCCTTGGGGTCGAAACGACCTCAACCTATTCTCAAACTTTCAATGGGTGAGAAGCCCGGCCTACGAGAACGATGAAGCCGGAGATCTGATGACGGTGCCCAGTGGGCCATTTTTGGTAAGCAGAACTGGCGCTGTGGGATGAACCAAACGCCCGGTTAAGGCGCCTAAACGACGCACATTTCGGATCCCACGAAAAGGAGTTGGTTGCTAAAGACAGCAGGACGGTGGCCATGGAGGTCGGAATCCG